ATATGCAATATATGCTGAAAGAAGTAACCAGAATTTTGCCGCGTCCTTTGCGGTGTTGACTTAGTAAAATAAATAAATAAATATATATATATATATACATAAGTGAAGGTTAATTTATTCCTAGAAAACTTGTACTTGATCTGATTCTTAATTACTCGCATAGAAAATTTCAGCTTAGCTTTGATGAGAAGTACAAACAAGTGCATATCTACATGTACATACTGTAAAGCTTTTCAGTAGACATTTTTGCTTAGTAACTAACATTTTTTTCAACTTTTTTTTCAACTTTAACTACGAGTGCCGGGGCGTATACGTAACATTCATAGAAATTTTGTAGGTAAAGAATAAGTGCCGGGGCGTATACGTAACATTCATAGAAATTTTGTAGGTAAAGAATAAGTGTAGTTACATGAAATTTTCATATGTACATATATGTATGTAGACATATATAAGTGATTTAATGTATATATATATATATATTCAGGTAACTTATTTATTTCCGCTATATTCACTAGACTTTCATTAAATAGAGACTCGAGCGACTCTTAAAATATTAGAAATTATCGAATGTTTGAAATATCAATTGGTTCGAAATTTTTTAGAGAAAAGTAATAAATTTTCGCATAATTGAATATTGATAATAAATATTTATTTTTAACTGCTTTCCTTATATAAACACAAAAGTTGCTTAGACTGTTCAATAACTTTTTTGAAAGAGAAAAAGTGTCCAAAATGCTTTTTCATCACTTTTGTATACAGAAGCTTTGTAAGGTGTCGAATAAGGCGTTTGCTTACTTAACTGATATCTCTATCAAGATTTTGGTTGTAGTTTTAATTTGTATCTGTTGCAGTTGAAATTTCGTTATCGGTTAGTGAACCTAAGACAGCAACCTTTTTATCAATTTGAAAAAAGGCAGGAAAACTTATGTGGCTGATGTTAAGTAGTAGTTCTATAGCTGGTTCTTCATCATATTTCAATAATTTCAATAATTTCAATAATTTCTTTTATGAGACCTGTTTTTTTTTGCGCCAGTTAAGAGTCGTTACAGCTCTCCATGCTCTGTCGAGAGATTTCAACAAAAGTTTCACGATTTCCCAATAATTATGGATAAACTCTCGGTCCCATGGTTGCAATTTGAAAGTTGTATTCGACGGCAAGAGGTAGAGCTCTACATTGTACAATATACCCGGACTGTTGTGGACAGTGCAATTTTCTAATAAAAGTAAAAAAGCTCTTCGCTTTTGTCCCATTTACTACTAAAGACACTCAGTCTACCATAGTCAAAAGTCTCGGGATAATATTAGATAATAAGCTCAACTGAGACCGAAACACGGTGGAAAAGTCGAGGAAAGCTATAACAGCACTCTATCAATACAAAGCGGCTATTGGCAAAAGATGTGATCTAAAACGGTTTATTGTTTATTTATGCAGCGGTTGTCGGTTTAATTCCACGTCAATTTCGTAAAAATCCTAGCAAACTCTTTTTAATTTTCTTCTCCTACATTTGCGCGGCAAACTTCAAGCGAGCTGCTCAGGCTTGCAGATATCGCGCTAAAAGGCACGTCCGGATATCGTCTACCGCGTAGTTTCTAGCGATGTTTGACTCCACTTATTGCTTTGATTCTGCTCAAGAATCTCGAATAGAAATTAATATTAAAATGAAAATGCTATGGCTCAGCGTGATACAGCTTTCTCTCCGGATGACTCTAAGCTCGATGAAGGTGTAGGCTGTGGATTTCACTCAATAAAGCTCTCAAAACATTTTTAATTGAGGCTACCAGACTAACGCAGCGCTTTCCATGTAGCGCATTATTGCATTTACGGAAGCCGCAGTTTGGTTGCTGGGATCACTGGTTATAAACCAATCAGTCAGTATATACTCGGATAGCCAAGCTGTCATTAGATCTATTCAATGTAATCGCGTCACATATAGAGTGGCTTTGAAATGTAGAAGCACATTAAATAAGTTTTCAGCCAGATGCAATACAGCCGTAATTTGGGTGTATACCGGAGGGGCTAACGAAATAAGATATCACTCTAATTACACTAAATTATACACACGTCGAGGGCGTGCCGTTGTCCATGACAAAGCTTACGCTAAATCTGACTGGAAAAGCGTCCACACCAGATGTCTTGACGACGGAGCCTGCATCGTGACTATACAGCTTTGACAACAACCGCATTAACTCAATTGCCTAAAGCCAATTATTGAAAAGGACTGTCGTTATGCAAACATTTTTGCTGGCACCACAATCAGGGCAAAACGATGGCACTCCTTTGAAATCCTTTGAATCATCGCGGTTTTATTGCTTCTCCTTTCACTAAAGATTTTGGTTCTTCCGATCTGTCCACATTTTTGCAAGTGAAGCAGTGTTGGTCTCTTCACCAAAACCCCCCCCCCCCCCATGAAACATTTGATCTGTGTTGAAAATGTCTTGGGTATCATAGTATCAAATCAAAGTCTTCAATTTATCATGCCCACCTAAGCAAACTTAATTATTAAGACTTCCACACAACTTTCTTCTCACCTTAATACTAAAACAAATGATCTGTTTATTTCGAAAAATTTATCTAACTTTTGGCCTAACGAAAAGTAGTTACAGCAAACAATTAATATTCCAATACATACATATTTCACGTTTGAAATTTGATTTGGTTTCATTTGAAATTAAAACATTCCAAAGAAAAGGATATATTAGCATTATTCAGAAATAAGTTACTATAACAAAATACATACGTTAATGTAAATGCTGATTAATTATACAAATATAGCATGTCCTGATGAAAACTAATACATAAGTATGTATGCACACACTGCTATGAATCGATAAGTCGTTCATTCCTTTATGCAAATAATTACAAAATGTTGCTTGTTCCTTTGTGTAAATTATGTGTGAATACAAATATGTGTTAATCACATGCAAAACATAATTGGATATGTATGTTCGATACATGAGTATAATACCGTTATCATCAATGTCCAGATATGATATGCGCACAGAGACGTAGAAATCGTGAGTGTTTTTGATAAATTAAAACCGAATACAAACAAATTACAAAAAATTTTTAATAAAATAGAATAAAATAAAATAAAAATTAAATAAAATAAAGTAAAATAAAATAAAATAAAATAAAATAAATTAAAGTAAAATAAAATAAAATAAAATAAAATAAAATAAAATAAAATAAAATAAAATAAAATAAAATGAAATAAAATAAAATAAAATATAATAAAATAAAATAAAATGAAATAAAATTGAATAAAATAAAATAAAATAAAATAAAATAAAATAAAATAAAATAAAATCAAAAAAAATTAAAGAAAATTAAATAAAATAATATAAAATAAATAAATTAAAATGAAACAAGATGATGATAAAATGATAAAATCACATAAAATAGAATTATAGAAAATTAATATGTTTAAAATAAAATAAATTAAACGATGTACAAAAAATAAAATAATATAAATAAATATCAAACAAATTGAAAAAATTGAAATAAAATAAAATAAAAAGAAAAAATTAATTGAACTGTATAAGAATATGAGATAATGTAAACTAAAATAAAGGTAAATAATTTAATGCAAATGTGGCTGAAAACCCCAAACCTTGTTACATATTTTCTGTTCTAAGGAAAGACTTTGCGCCAGTGCATATGCATGCGACTCAATTATCACTATTTGATTAATAATATTTAGATATGTAAATTTGATACTCATGTACGTTAGTAATTATTTTTTTTATCTCTGCCTGTAATCAATCATTCTATTATACGCACAACCGAGAGCTATTTGATAAATTTGAATATTGTGGTTTACATAGCAATAAATTACACAGTTCATTCTATGGTGTTACCATTGGAATAATTAATTGCTCAAAGCAAATAAATGTGTTGGGAGATTTTTCAATTCTTAATAAAAATTTGTGGGTCCAACTTAATTAATAACTAAATATTGATTCAAAATTGTATCAGGCAATAAAATCATAATTACTCTTATTTCAATAGCAACAGCTCATCTGCTAAGTAGAGTAAACTCCCACCGAGCAGACCGAGCTGATTCTTTAAAGTCTGTATTGGTGTATATGAGGTGTGCTCAAAAAATATCGCTGCGTTGTTTTTGGCCAAAAAGTCGCGCACAAGCAACGATGTAATATTCCTTATTGACCGTTCTACCCTGTGGCAAGAACTCATAATGCACCACGCCCCAGCAATTAATTTTTTCGTCTGTTGTTGAAGTGCTCGGGCGTCGGGCACGCTCTTCGTCGTTCACATCTTCTCGGCCTTCTGAGAACATTTTGTACCACCGATAAACGTTGCTTCGGTCCAAGGAAGCTTCTCCGCATGCCACAGTCAATATTCGGAATACCTCCGCGTGGAAATTACTGCAAAATTTCAGAAACTTTCTTCACTCCACTCCACGACCCATTTTGATATGTACGCCAATCAGCCATCTTTTTAATGTTTTCCTCAGTAAATGCTTACCGATCAACGCCCGAAGATGGGGCAAGAAAATCACTTTGGTGAGTTCCAACATTGTTAGCGCCATCCCCGTTGATTCTTGAAGAATTGTAAGCTGTGCTCTCTTAAAAAGAGTATTTCCTCACGTTGGCCAGCGTCGTCATCAGTTCGTGATACTTAGAGCGTAATCCACTACAATACAACTTCTAGTGTCTGGGAACTAGCTATGCCATCTGCCATTAGCTTATTTACTTGCCCTTCAAGCCTTTTCCGAAGCTCGTTTGGTCGAAGTGACCGCTTCACTTAACGCATTGGAGGACAACATCGAAGCATTTATTCGAGACATACCGGCCGAGATGTCAACATTTGCTTGAAATAATCTTCGAACATAGAATTATAGGAACCGTACTATCGATTCAAATAAAGACTTCATGCATTTTTCTGAATTTTTTGTGTTTTTTTTTTTGAAAAACTTTCCTATAACTCCTTAAAAATCACCCTTTAATTGTCTTTACTAATTTCATTCTTCTCTTTCCAGAGCTTTCTCTAAAAACTTTTGGCAACGAATAAGCGAACTGTCGTGCAGGGGAGTAAAAGAGAAACTATTCAAAACATACATGGGCATGTTAAGTTCCCTGCAGCAAGCAGTGCAATTTAATTACATAACATCAATGGAAGAAAAGTAAATGACATAGACACTTTAGTCGTCATAAAATTGAATCTCAGAGTGCAGTAGGCGCCAGACCAATAAAATCTTTCTAAGAAAACTAAGCAGACACAAGCGTCAAATAAGGAAGCACAGCAGCAGCAACGAGAAATAGAAAGCCTGACATCATCTTCTCAAAACGAACAGCAACTCTCAGCGGATCAAGGGGGAGAGTCGAAGAAGTGTGTTAGGTACTAACTAACAACATCAATTCTAACCCCAGCCACACAAAAGCCATCGCAGTGGCACTCAGTGCACGCCTCAACTTTTCCGCTGACACCGCCACAGCTACCACAACCGCTGTGATGCCAGGGTCGTGTCAACGCCTCCGTTTGCCCTCTTTGGCTGCAGTAATGCGCACAACACGCGCATCTACCACCGACTATACAGCCTCGACGATACGCAAGGAACAACGACGTGTCGTCATGATGGGCGCAGCACGTGTCGGCAAGACTTGCATCATCTCACAATTCCTCTATGACAAATTTCAAACGCGCTACAAACAAACAGTCGAAGAATTGCATCGCGGTGAATATGAACTGCCCGATGGCTCTGCACTGACATTGGACATACTAGATACATCCGGTTCGTATGAATTCCCAGCGATGCGTACATTATCGATATCAACAGCGGGCGCATTCATACTAGTCTATGCCGTGGATGATAAGGAGTCGTGGCATGAGGTGGAGCGACTAAGGAATCAGGTGAGTTGTGTGGAGGTGGTAGAGAGTGATTGAGTGCCCTCCTGTACCGATGAAGATGTTGATGATGATAGGCGTGTGTGGGTGTGTTTTTCATTTTTAGTTTCCATTACGTATTTGTGAGGGAAGTGAAGAAATGAGTCAATATCTTTAGCCGCTTCGGTGTCATTGATGTTTTCGGACAAAACCTGATAGGAAAGTATTTTCAAATGTATGTGGGCTTAGACTCATGATTTGGAAGAGGAAACTCGTTATTCATTTTCTAGTAAGAAGAAAAGGTGACAAACCGCTGTTTGAGTCATACTTTGTTCATGCCGATGAGGCTGCCACCATAAATTGTTTCAGATCTCTCAGCGCATTCAAGTGTTGTCTTAAACAGTCGACCATACTGGAACTTTTAGGGTTCTTGTAGAGTCTCGACCACTTAATTACTTACATTAAGCAAATAGAGCTTCGTATTCTTGTATGTGCACTGTATTGCTAGGTGAAGTGGAATAAACCTAGTTTAGAGTATGCACAATGGATGACGATCCGCGGGAGCGCAAACTTTGCAAGTATCCAGCAGTCGATAGAGTCGTCATATCTTTCATCAGGCTTTCTGCTCTAGCGATACAGAGTTGGATTGGAATAAGTTAAAACGATTCAGTGAAATGTTCGCAAAAGCCTCAACCTTCCATTCATGTTTCTTTCTCTTTCGTTTCTCCGTTTCCCTTACAGAGTTGTGTTATGGTTAGAGCAGGCCATATGCCAATATGTTTTGGTCTTCCGTGTATTTAACTGCTTATTACTTAGTGAGTTTTTCGCTGGCAAATGTAGGCCGAGCTGAAATGTTCATATGATTCTGAACATTCTGAAACTTAACTCGTGAGCTAACCAGAGTCACTAATTGGGGATAACTTATGCATTGTCTTCTAAACCTTTCCAAATTTTCTATATATTCTTTGATTATTTAGAACTTTGCGTACTTGTAATTACTAAACTCACCAAAGTTACTAAATTTTAATATTCACCATAATTTAGCTCACCTCACGAAACTTGCATCAAGTTCACTTAACACACGTTTGTTACATTTTCATGCTCACCACACTTGAATTCACCACTACGTCCACCACATTAACTAATTCAAAGTTCAATTCTTGTAACAGTTTCCCATCACTCACACTTAAGTTCACCATACTCAAACTATCAGCACTATTAATCTAAACGTTTTATTTCAAACACACCCTTATTCCCCACACTCTAACTCTTTACACTCTTACTCACCGTACCTATGTCAAATGGTTATAAATAAAATCACCAAACTATTAATTTAAATAGGGACCTGAAGGTACTGTTCCTTAAAATCTCAACACATTAATTCACCTCACCAAAATTGTATCACAAGTTGGAGATGTACCGGTTTTTTGGTTTTCTTGTTGAGAGGTGAGATTTTTCAGTTGATGTCTTACTTCAAACTCTTATCCGAAAAACAATAACTACTGTAGCTTAAACTCGAAACTTCGTTGATCCAACCTCTAAAATATCATGCGACGGGTTAGCGTCTGATTTTCGGCTGCTCTTTCAGTATGTGGTGTGAGTTATTTTGAAATAAAGAGACGACGTTTCTAGGCCACCTCCGAACGGCCGATGGTTTTTTAAGAAGAGTTTATTCTATGTCAGAACGGACGAGCTTACATTCCTTGCCTAGGGACGACTGCATTTTACAATTTTCGTAGTTGATCTGATCCAAACTGCAATACAAGTGCCACCACAAAATAGACATGAAAAGATAAATATTATTTGGATTTCAAGGGGTTTCTCCATGACTCACCAAAAAAAAAAAAAAAAACAAAACAAAAAATTCTGCTCCGTCTCTGGTTTCGTCGCCCACTCATTTCGATCAAAAGCATATTCGTTTACATCTCTATTATATTACAAGTATTTTATAATGCACAAATATATATATATACATATATAAACACACTTTCTTCATATGTCTTCTTCTCCATTTGCAGATAATTACAGCGCGTGGCCTAAAAGTCCCCATTGTCATTGTCGGCAACAAATTGGACATAAACGAAGCCGAACGACAGGTGGAGCATGAGGTGACCGAAATGATTGTGTGCGAAGATTGGAAATGTGGTTACATCGAATGCTCGGCGAAGGAGAATACTGGCATTGTGGAGATATTCAAAGAGTTGCTCGTACAAGCGAACATACGCTACAATCTCAGTCCGGCCGTGAGGCGACGCAGGCAATCGTTACCGTCATATAATAGCGCAGCAGCGGGTATGACGAGAAATAGTAAGAGTCCATCAAATAAATATATATTGAAACGTCACTCATGCACCATGACATGAAGGGCATAAATTGGCAAGACCAAGAGAGAGGGAGGGAGAGCGAGAGATAGGGGGTAGATGGCAAAGCGTACGGCTTGATGGATATGATGGACAAACGGATGTTATGGAGCCAAGGGTGATGCGATTTGATACAATCCTTGAGCAAATATAGACAAGGAGCTGCACTGATTTTATTTTAGTTTTTGTTTTTTTTTGTCCAAAAACAAAAAATTATAAAATGAAGCAAAAATACATATGATTACACACACATACACGCACATCCTCACAACGAGGCATAGTTAGAAGCTACAGGCTTTTATTGTCCATACAGCGTAAGGTCAACCTGTAGCTGGCAGCGCTTCAGGGTGGGTTTGACGGTATTTTATGGCAGGTGCGAAGGTTACCGGCATGTCGTCATCATAGAGGGACAGTGTGATAATAAGGCAACAAAAGCCAAGGCGTTTGCTGGAACTATATACATATGCACATATGTGTGTATGTATGTAAGAGTAAAAATGACATGACACTTGCTCCGGCAGTTGGAAATGTGCATGTGTGTGCCACAGGTGCAATATGGTCTGCAAGGTTGCTCTCAGCGCCTTTAGTTTTTCTTTCGTATGTGACTTTTGAATCTCTTTAGCGCTGAATATGACACCGATTGACGTTGCTGTCAATGTCTCAGTGATATTCAATGTCATCATCAGCAGAAGCAGCTAAAGAGAGCCGCTTTGTAGATTGACGTTGTCAATGGTTATCGTGATTTTTTTGGTTATTTAAGGTTTTTTTGTTTGTTAGAATTTTTGGCTGTGGCTGTGTTGAGAGGAGCTGGTGCAGAGATAATAAACACATACAAACATACATCTCTAAGTACTTATATACATACATACTCATATATGCAACCAGTACTCGAAAATATGGAGTTAATAAATTCCAAGAAATAAACTCGCAACGCACACGCAGACACACACCACCACACACGCACACAAGGGTGGTTATGCTCCTCATAATTGACTTTGAAAATCCCATAACAACAAGAAGCAAACGCCAAAATGTAAAAAAAAAACAAAAAGAAATTGAAAAAAGTTAATGAAAATATGCGAGAAAGGAAGGTGCGCAGACAAACGAAGTATTTTTCCAAGAAGTGATATTAATTTCTATGTAATGTTAAGTCGAGCAAATTTGTTATGTTGTGTATGTTTATGAAATTTCAAAGGGAGTTTGCACATACTGACATACTCGAGCAAATGTATGTAGTTGGTGAATTGTTTTTAAATTAATAAAATTCGTTTATTTGTTTATTTTCTGCTATGAAATCACTTGTGCATTTCGATAGCTTTAAGTTCGATTATATTTTTCGCCATAAAATTATGGTAAGCATTTTTCGTTGAGGTTCGGTTAGAATTTATATAATTAATTAAAATTTTTCTTTAAATTGCGTTATATATACAAATTATAAACAATTTGTAAGTATGAAATTGAAATTGAGTTTGAAAATTGTTTCAAATATAACATATTCGTATTCATTAAAAGACTTTGTGCTGAGGTTTTGTAGCAACTGTAGACTAATAAGTAGTAGTGTTATACAAATACATACATACGATCGTAGGATATTACATTATATATATATATAAATATTAGTATTTTTAGATGTGTTAGCAGTTGATTAGTTTTTGTATTGAAATATAAATATATATATATTTGTGGATTCATGTGAGAAATGTAGCCATTAATACATATACATTTCATATCTATAAACATATATGTCTGTCACTCAAAGGGAATAAGTGTATAATATTTTCTTTAAGTAACCAAAATATAAATCACAAACTTCTTTTTTTAAATAAATATTAAAAATATTCAACTCGCTTTCACACTCATCAAGCTTTTTCCTGACATCGCTTTGTTTTATACTCTTCTCCCTTTAATAAAATTTTGAAAAAGTGAAGCAGGCCTTCACGTTTAAATGGTGAATATTTGGAAGGTTTATCTATTTTTCTGTTTTTATTAAAATAATGAAATAATAAATTAAAAACGTTAAAAAAATAATAAAATTGAATTATAAAGAAAACCTCTTAAAAAAACATGAAAACAGAAAACAACACAAAACGTAAGATCAAGCAAAATAACACAAATTAATCAAAAGAAAATGAAATAAAAAATAACAATAATTTCAAAATTAAATGGATGTAACATAAATTTCAAAAAAATATAATGATCTAAACTCAAAACAAAATAAAATAATTGCAAATAAAATAAAATATAAAAAAATCAAATAAAAACAAATGAAATGAAATAAACTAAAATAAAATAAAATAAAATAAAATAAAATAAAATAAAATCAAATCAAATCAAAACAAATCAAATCAAATCAAATAAAATAAAATAAAATAAAATAAAATAAAATAATATAAAATAAAATAAAACAAAATAAAATAAAATAAAATAAAAAAAATAAAATTAAATTAAATTAAATTAAATTAAATAAAATAAAATAAAATTAAATAATATTAAAAAAATATAAAAATATAAAAGTGAGTGAAAAGGAATAATAATAAAGTTGGGGTAGTAATTTTAAAAGAAATTTGAATAAAACAATTAATATACAAAACATGATCTCTAATATTGTACAATAGTTACGATAAAATTAAAAGAAATATCACTCATTTTTCCCTACAAAAAGAAATCTTTCGATGTTAAAATTAAGCAAGAGAAACTTGAAAACAAATCACATTGCAGAGCTTAAAGTATTTTTAGAAAAGCATTTTTAATACCAAAATTATTAAAAGAAAAAATGAAAATTTATAAGTACAGAAGAAGTAGAAGCAGATCGCATTACAAATAATTAGAATAATATACATACATGTATATATGCATAATTAAACGAGTTAAATAACAACTTAAATCAATGTATTTGCATTTAAATGTATTTGTAACAAACGCACAGTTGTGTGTTTACATATTGATGTTTGCTAAGAATATATATTTTATTAAGCATTAAATGAAACAAAGTACGTTTTAGTAACTAAAATAAAAACAAAACAACAAATTCCATAAAAATGTACCTTGTAATTGTTAAAAAGAAAAGGTGGAAAAAAGAGGAAGCTTAAGACAAAATTGCCATAAATGCAATTTTTGGTATGCATTATTTAAATTTTCGTTGCATAACTTTAGGCGCATCACATATGTGAGGTTTGACTTGCAAAGAGCTATACATATTGATTTATAAATATTTATAATTGATTAAAATTATAAAAATAATAAAAATATTATTTGCACTATAGATGAATAAGCAACTGTAAATTGTTTAATGATAAAACAAGAATTAACGGTAGCAATTTTTAGCTTGAGTACTTAACGAATCAATACACCAAATAAATTTAATATACAGCTAAAGCTTTTATTCAAAAAAATAAAATCGAATTTAAATGTCTTAAGCGATATTTGCGCACAAAGTGAAAAAGTGAATGTTAAATAATATTGTAAGTATGTAAGCTGATACATTTTCAACAAAATAAAAGTGCATGTTGCAAGAGCCACGAGATTAAAAGAATACAAAAATTCCATTTCAGGATATATGAAAAAATATATATGTGAAAATCTATTTATTTGCAGCAGAAAGTTATCAAAATATCCACATACATACACACAAATTTCTCATAGACTTTCATCAAACAAAATTTTTGCCAAAAAATTCACATAGCAACGGCAATAAAGTCGGTAAGAAGGCAAAAGTTTTGAGGCATTTGAGACTCTTTGCAGAATAAGAAGAAGAAATATATGAAGATGTCGTTTCGTTGGCATTTCGATCGTTATTAACAAAGCAGCATAATTGTTTTGTAAGAAATTTTATAAAATTGCCTGAAATGTTGTTGATTGTTTGAATGAGATTTGAAAAAGAAGACAAAATAAAGTTGAAGTGGTCTTTGTAGGGCATCCTGAAATTAATTTTAAGCAAAATATCAAATGAAAAAAGTAAAAAAAAAAACATATTTGTACGAGTTGAATATATAAATAATTAAGTACCCAAATAAATATAATAAATATTTGCATGAAAAGAGATTCGTATGAAAATGCTCAAAATATACTTTTATATAATGTTAATATATTATTTACAAAAAAAAAAAAAGAAAAAAAATTGGCTTAAGCATGGATAGACTTGAAAAAAAAAAAAAATAAAAACTAAACAATAATTTTGAAATAAAAAGAATTTATTGTTTACGGATTTTTCATACTTAATTAAGGAAAAACAAGCAAAAACTATTTGTAAGGCATTGAAATTATTTATAAAGCATATTGAATTGTAATAAATATGTGCTAAAATAATACAAATTAAAAAAAAAAATATTTTATTTAAAAAAAAAAAAAAAAATTCGATGATTTTTAGAACGACGTTATTCCAGGTCAATTTCAAACTATTGACTTAGCACCTAATTAAAGTATTTTTATATTTCTGATATTTTGTCGGCATCAAGAGTTAAAAAAATTCATATGCATAATTAATTACGTAGAAGAAGTATTGGTACTGTTCACACAGGCACTCAATTAACTAATTGAGAACATTTCAATTATAATAGAAACAATTTCTCAGCGTTCCAACTCGGTCATATCAAGTGGTAACCCTCCATATATCGCTCAGGTCGAGTGGTTAACAGCGCATACTGCTAGTCAGAAGCCTTGAGCCATGGCCTGTTTCGTCCAACTTTCAAAAATTATTGAATGTTTAATTGAAATAGAAAATTTAAAATTCTTTTTCTAATTGCGATTGCCCTTAGGCGCCAACTAGATGAATATAATTCTTGATAAGTAACTCAGCGGGAACGAACCGATTGAGTGTAGGGTCCGTAAAGCTCTTCACATTTCAAAACGAGGGGCTATGACCTCAAATGAAGTTCTCTTTTTATAAAGGGTAGCAAGACTCTGACTAACATAGCACAGAGCATTAGTATGGTGGGCGGCATCAAATAAGAAGTGGCATATTGAATTTCTGGCACAGGTGCCACGTACCTGTTTATGAGTACATGGCGGTGATTACTACTTCAACTAAGACTCTGGAAGTTATCCAATTACCATGCAAATCATGTATGAAGCTGCGCTAATAGCTAATCGTCTAAAGCTCTAAACATTCGGATCTGGTCCCCTAACTGTGAAGGAGGTGGCAGTATACAGACAGTTATAAGAGAAAGTAAAAAGGGAACTCGGGATATCGAGCAAAGGAAACCGTATGCCGAGTGAAGGCCATCGACTCCTTCTCTAAACACAGTCTAAAAGTGACGCAGGCATAAAAGTGGGGTTTTTCTGTGATAAGCCCAATAGAGAAACTCAATGACTTCAGTTCTGTCTTTTAAGCACAGTATTGACACAATCTGAAGGTACAAGAGGGCCAAGCGCTTTCATGGGAATATCTACAAGGCATATGTGTGTGGGGACATCCAGAAGATGCAATTAACAGTCTTAAGCGTCACAATACAGTGAATTTAATAACTATTTTTGGACCTCACCTACTTATAGTGAATCCATTCTTTGATGCATATTAAGACCGTCGTGGTCAGGAGAAGAGGGTTTCCTGCTCGTAATATGGCGATTCGCTCTAAGCAGAAGTAGGCTTCTGTTGGTTTTGTAATACCGAAGAGTAACAGATAACTAAGCCTGGTAATGTGCAACCCTTCACTTGAGGAATCAGTTTAGTCATTTCTCGGCAGTTGAGGAAACTGTCCCTGTCAACAAACAGACTAAGACACCAATTTTTAATTTGACACTGATTTGCGGCAGAGGATAACGGCAATGGAAATACGCGTATAACTTTGCTCTTGTAAGTGTTGAAGCATTGAACTCTGATGGTACGGTGGATGGATGAACATTTTAGTACAACCCTTCATTGGAACTTTCAAGCTACAGCCCTGGGCATTTCCAAGATAAGTGGAATCTAGATGGAACTCTGCCCTCCAACCTGCAGAGCCATATATTTTATCAACGTTAACTAAAAAGGCAATAAAGTGAAGCATTCTTGTAAAGCTTTCTTTTTCCAGCAGAGAAAAACTTTCAGGGGAAATGAAATAGGAAATGTTTCTTTTTTATTGACGTATCCCGCGCCATTGCGAATTTAGACGAGTCAGTGGAACAGCGCCAGTCGTTTCTTCTGTTAGCAGATCGGAGACACCACTACACTCAGACCTTCTTCCTCCTTTGTTTCCACCGGTGGGTACTGCGATGAAAACTTTCAAAACTGAAGAACTTTTACCCATGTCCTAGTAAGTGCATACGCTGTCTTTTAATTCCCCTTCGCATGTCGCTATTGCCCACGCCTCTGGACCATACTATATAAGGGTCTCGAGGTTTTGAGATTGAACTTTGCTGTCGAATTGCCTACTCAGACCAAACGATGTTGACCAAATAATGTTGACTGAGAGGGTGCCTTTTATTGCAACCGTCTGGGATAATTTTGACGGATGCATGCACCTTGTCAATTCATCGCCATCATATGTAAAGAGCTCAGGCAGTTAGAGCACTGCAGACATATCATCAAGCTCTCATAACTTGATTAATCCGAGGGCGAGTGGAACGCTGAAGAGACAGCCAAGTAGCTTGATAAGTGTTTCTGTGCTGGAGCTTAGTACCACAGGCAAACATATTTTGGGCTCCGGAAGAAGTCGATTATCCTCGAACCACTTGAAATTAGGCACAGTAAAGATTAAGCTGATCAAGCGCACAAAGGCCTATTGAACTGTTGTGATACCCATGTTTGTCTTGCTAAGGGTATTCCTTTCACCGTTCCAAATACTCAAACTACTTGGTGTATTTTATGAAGTTAAGAATATTAATAACGTTTACCGATGCTAGGTCTGCAATGTAATCGAAGAAGAAGTTTGCGAGAAACGATAACGGACCACAGTGAGAGCTGGGTAGTAACAAAGGCGGGGTTCCAACGATTTATGGAGGTCCGGTTTGGAAGGAGTGAAGACTTAGTTCTGCTTACCTGCATTGGAGCGGCTTAATGACAGCCTTGCTATCGGACTGTACTGTTATATGTTGGGTTAACGAATTGAAATGAACAACCATGTAGCAGCTTCCGTTAAAGCGGTCACTTCCACTTAGAATACACTGCAGTTGATGGGAAGTCTTTTACTTAATTCTAAACCAAGAGATTCCGAATTCCATAACCTACTTTGCCTTCTAGTTTAGAGTCGTCGATGACTATGGATCTGTGATTCAAAACTGCTGCATTTTCCCATTCGTTCCGCTCTAGAATTTTTGTTGAGAAATTATTGGTGAAATAGAAGATAGACGTGCTATATTCCACCTCCTCCGAGAGTGATGTCGAGTTTAGTATTTAGGCGTCAACTACACGACTCTTCCATGGTTGAGTTGTACTTATGGCGTTGCAGCTCACATGGAGTTTACCCTATAGAAAAAATTTTAAGTAAAATTTCCAGGGTTCTCGTAGGAGTTGATGGCAGCACACCTATAATGGGGGCCACTGAAATTTTTCCAGCTTGCTCTTATAAGTAGCCTTGTCTAGTTCAGGGCGTAAGATAGTGACTCCATACAATAACATACATAGGTGGTCTTAGACTGCACCTTCTAGTGGAGAGTAACAGTTCGGTATTTGACGGATTTGCATACAGAAGGCGCTCACTGCAGCAGCTACTTACCGTGTAAAGTGCATTTTGAAGTATGAAACTTAAGAGATACTTTGAACATTTCAATATTTTTTTATTAGCTTTTACATACATATATTTCGCATTATATATTTGCAGTTGTTTTAACAAAATATTAAATAAATAAAACTAAGGACACTTGAGTTTATTTTAAAATATTAAAAAAATGCATAAAATTAATTTCTCTTCTTTTCTTCATCCAATCGCCTTCACGGCCCTCCAGCCAATCTCTGCAACAGCTCCGTCATTTGCGCCAAACGATCTTCGATCAGTTTCAAACGCCGCTCCGTATTCACTTCGTGCAGCTTACTCTTCTGTGTTATTGTCTTCTTCTCAATCACAACCATTGCCAGTTTCACGGTACGGCTATCCATTTCCGAGCACTTGCCCGTTATGCAGGTACAACAACAGGGCAGAAAAGAAACGGGCGCATCGAGTAACTTCTTCTCATGTTCGCCGCCCTCTTCGGTTAATGGTAGAAATGTGGTCTTTGAGTTACGTACGCCGTTGTTCCGTGCAAATTCATTTTTCATTTCCACACTGCCATTATTGTTGGGTATACCAACCAATACTTTGTTGTTGTCATTTGGTAGAATGGCTATTTGACGACCAACAACATAATTGGAATCGAGATTCATTAAACGACGACAAATCGTGCGAAATGGTTCGTGGGTAATGATGAAACTGGCGCGTCCGGTGCGTCCGGTGAGGACCTGTTCGTAGCGTGTTAGAAGAATGGTGCGACAGATCGAGCCGTTGAGTTCGGCTTGTGCTTTAATGGCCTGTGGAAGAAAGAGGGAGAGAGAGTGAGAGAGGAAAAGAGTTAAAGAGAGTTACCGGAAACATTGTTAAAAAATAATAACCTCCAACTGGCTGAGCAGTCAACGAATCGATTAACTTTAACCATATAGCAAGTTGGTATTAATATGATAGGCTTTGTATTCTACACCCCGAATCATTCATATATAAGCTTTAAATTCCTTGTTTTGAAGACTCCTTGACAATCAGCCCACTTTTTTATTTGCTGAGGAACTAAAGATAAGCCAGAAAACCACTTGGAACCATTAGCATAATCTTGGATTCAAAAAGAAGCTCGATGTTTGGGTGCAGCACGAACTTACGCAAAAAAACATGATGGATCGAATTTCCATCTGCGAATCGCTGCTGAATCGCAATCAAATCGACCCGTTTCTGAAGCGGTTTAGGACTGGCGATGAAAAATGGATCACCTACGACAATATCGAGCACAAGCGGTCGTGGTCAAAGCTCGGTAAAGCGATTGACGGCCAGGAAGGTTTTGCTGTGTGTTAGATGGGATTGGTAAGGAACTACTAATGGCCAAACGCTTAATTCGGTTCCCTTCTGCCAACAAATGGACCGCTTGATGGCAGCACTCATCCAGAAGAGGTCATCTTTGATCAACAGAGGCCGAAATGTGTTTCATCAGGACAACGTCCGCCCACATACGACTTTGGTGACGCGCCAGAAGCTCCAGGAGCTCGGATGGGAGATTCTAATGTACCTAACTTATAGTCCGGACCTGACACCAAGTGATTACCATCTTTTCCTGTCCATGGTGAACGCACTTAATGGTAAGAAGTAGGCCTCAAGAGAGACCTGTTAAAATTTGGAAAGAAAGAAGAGACTAAGTTCCCAGAACCGAGCTGTATTCGACGTGTTCGTACATGGAGAAGAGGGATGTCAGATGAGTTGGTTTTAGATGGTATCCAAAAATACGGTTAGTGTCGGCGAGGACTCATTGCATACAGTACATATGTATATGTCGGAGTCAAGACCGGATAAGTAGGGCTTAAATAAACTATAATATCTAGATCTCAGCTGTGGGAGTATTATTCGGGTCTTTCGTGGCAGGTCCAGCGCTTTAAAAAGCATTAAAAGTCTGTCGGTACCTTGTTCTGCCCAGTGGTTTGTTCCATAAATTCTGTCTCAAGTCCATCAGGTCGAGTTTCTGTGTGCCTGTACCCATATCAGGTTTAGCAAGAACTGCTTAGTTATCACAGTAAATGATTGATTTCGAAAGAGGTGAGAACACAAGATCAGTCAGTTCGCCCTTCTCAAGCTAACTGTCGTCTAATTTTGTCTTAACGTTGCAACCCACTCACCTGTGTATCGCTGACAGCCAGACCATTGAGCAGATTGAAGAGTACGATTGACATGAAAACGACGAACATCAGGAAAATCAAGTAACTGTAGACGGTATCAAATTCAATATCGCCAGCATCGAACTCGCCCGTCAACATAACGATAGTTTTAATGACCGCCGTGAAGGGATTTGCAAACTTATTAAATTCACCGCCATCGCTCGCAGCCGCATCCGTACCATTCGCTGCGCCTTCCGATGGCTTGCCGAATAGAATGTAAAAGCACAAACTGAAGGTGATTACGAAGATCGAATAGAGAGCAAAGCTCTTGATGAAGCTCTTCGAGACAGCGCGTAACATAAGCATGTGTGTGGAGATGGAGAGCACAGGCAGTGAGCCGACCAATAAACAAAGCTCCATAGCGACGAGTAGTATTGTGAAGACAGCGACAACACGTTGAGTTTCACGATTGTAACTCGGTTCAGTGCAGGTCATTATGGAGAGCACGATGAGTAGCACCTCCAGCCAGTTGGTAATGGAGCGGAAATATTTGAGTGGTGCTAAAACGAATTGTATAACCTCACGCACAAGCAAATATATAATGCCGATCCAAGAGAAGAGACCGAAGAGTACAGTAACCGCCTCGTTTTCGCTCTCGCGGAATTTCAATATCGTATGTATGATTATGCTTAAGGCGAAGAAAAAGTAGAGCAAAAAGTTTATATAGAAAATAACGGAGAGTCGATGCCATTTGAGAAATAGAAAGCTCGTGATGAGCGGATGTTGTAGCAGATGGCGGTGTTCTTTGGACTCGGCTATAAATTCGATGGGTGGCATCTCTTCACGAAAGTTTTGTGCACGCACCTTCGTTGCATGTGTCGAGGCCGGATGTGGTATGAGATTTTTGAAGTTAATCAATATTTCGAAATCGTTATCGCCAGGCTTGCAGCCGTTCGTGGTAATGCAGCTGTCAAAGTGTTCTTCCAATACCTCCGGGTGCATACCATCGAGTGGTAGATCAGCGAAAGCGCTGCGCATGCCAATGTAGGCACCATGACGCAGTAGCTCTTGTATGACCACACGATTACGGTATTTGACCGCGTAGTGTAGTGGCGTGGAGCCACTTGGATCAGACTCGTTGATATCGATGCGTTCGGAGTTCAGCAATAAATAAAAGCATTTCTCGAAATTCACGAAATCGTATAGCGGTTCGTCGTCCAAATGGCTAATAACGGTGATCAAAAGCTGATCCTGTCGGCGCAACTTGAGATCATCGAACGACAGTAGAGATTTCAATGCACGCCAATTTCCCCAAATTGCCGCCAAAAGTATGGGCGTCTGTCCGTCTTTAACGCCGTTTACGTTCACATCGTGACGCAACAACAAATCAAACGCATTGTGTGTGCCACGCTTTATGGTCTCCATGAAGAGCTGCAGCTTTTGCTCCTGCACTTCATTCGCATTGTTGTCCTTTTCCGATGAACTCTGCGCATACAGCGGAAATTGTTCCATAAATTTTTCTTCATCACCGTTACGCAATTGCGTGAGCAGCCTATCGAAGCTCACATCGGCCGCGTTCACTTCTGGCGGTGGCAACAGTATCTCAGGGTAGTCGCGACGCAACAATTCGCGCACTTCGCCATCACGGAAACTGTCCACATCTAGTTGTTGCTGTGTTGTGAAAAGCTGCACCAGCTCTCGCTTACCCTCAGTATCGAGCTTGCGATTCTTCAGGACATAATTGAGTGGTGTCATTTCTCGATCGTCGGGCTTGTTCGGCGAGGCACCGTAATCCAGCAACTGCTTCATACAAGCGTAGACATCGGCTTGATTTTCGGCAGTTAGATTTTTGGCCAGCGCATTGAGTGGTGTGAGCTTGGCATAGGGTCGGTCCACTTGTATATCTTTGCTGCGCAAGAGTAACCTGAGAATTTGTGGATCTCGAGAGTCGGCAGCGAAATTGATGGCAGATTTCTTCCAGTGTTGATTTATCTGTAAAATGAGAGAGAAAATTCTGTTAAATGATAGAGAAGGGGCACATAATACATCATGTTGTTGAATAAGGTTGACGATCTTATTGCGACGGGACGCCTTCAAACCATTGAGGAGGCTCATTATGTCCTCGTTTCATCTAAGCTTTTTAGCGAGCTCTCCACTTCTTTCGGTGAACTTTTGATATCTTGGTGAAAGCAAACAAGAAGACAAAACCAGGGGATAAGGGATAAAATAACTGACAAGAGTATGCAGCCGAGCAACATCCGAGTATTATAGAAAAACTATAGAGAATGCCAATACCTCCGATTGTACTTCTGACGCGAAATAAAAGCTCCACATAAAATTAAGTCAACCGTTTCGAGGCGACTTAGTATAAACTGTAGGTCCCTCAATCTATTGGAAAAACATCAAGTCGAAAAACCGCAAATTGGAGGAGGAGCTCGGTCACAAATCGTTTCACCGGTTCCGAACTGCTAACCATATTATATATTATAGTTTATATATAAATAGTCATACTCACATGGTTGGGACTGCAGCCATGCTTCAAACATTCCTCCACAAACGCAGCACGCCCGTGTGTCTTCAAAGCCAACTCAAAAACGCTCAAATGTTTGTCATCCGGCCGTGCAGGGTTGGCGCCTTTATCTAGTGCAATACGAAAATCGCTGATATTGTTGTTGGCAAATGCCGCACCCAACTCGCTCTACCAAAGAGAAAATAAGATAATGAGTAAATGACTTTGTGCTCTTTATGAATCATTGTATGTAATCGATCAAGTGTCTCCATTACCTGTGGGTCATCTAAACCGCAATTGGTTATGCTAATCGCACTGTAGGGTTTATTGGACATTTTGTTTTGTTGCTATTTCCAGCTGCTGATTGTTTGTTGTTCTCTTTCACTCTGTTCTGAGCCACGAAATTTCAACTGTCAGCGGAATTGTTAGCAGCTAATCTGTAACGGTAAGCGGATTTGGTGATGTGTGAGAACATTTCACAGTTGAGGGTTGTGATAAAGGTGTTTTGCTTGTCTTTATTAAATTACTTTAGAAACAAAAACAAATTATTGGTAAAAGACCTTATTAAGCTCAATGATGAAAAATATTTGTTATATCAAAAAAATAATCCGCTTTAGATTGTGTCAACCAATACGAGTTTCGAAATGTTTTTTTTTTAATTATTATATATATTTTTTTGCTTTTATTGTATAATTTATATTTTTTATGTTAATTTTTCAGTGTTATAATTTTTTGATTAATGTTATTTTACTTTATTTTATTTTATTATATTTTTATAATATAATTTTTTTTATGTTATTTTTTAAATTAATTTTATTTTTTATTTTATTTTTTTTTTATCATCATTATTTTACTTAATTTTGTTTCTTATTTTATATTTATTTTACATTATTTTACTGTTATTTTAAAATATTTTTTTCTTTTTTTATTTTATTTTTTTATTTTTATAATTAATTAATTTTTCATGTTCTTCTACTAAATTTTTTTTTTCATTTTAATTTTTAATTAATATTAATATTTAATTTTACCTTAATTTATTTATTTTTCTTTCTTATTTTTATGTATTGTTTTATTGGTTACTTTTTTATTTTATTTTTTTTTTGTTAAATTTTAATTAAATTTATTGACTTATTTCATAATTTTATATATTTATTTTTTATTATTTTATATTTTATTTTTTTTATAGATATAATTTAATTTGCTTACTTTATTCAATATAATTTCATATCTTAATTTATTTTATTTTTTTAATATATTTTTTTTTTTATTTCGTTTTCTTTGTTTGTTATATATATTTTTTATATTATTTTGTTTAATTTTAGTTTTTCTAATTATAAAATATTTTATTTCTGATTACTTTTTTTGAATTTGATTTTTTTATTTTATAATTTTATTATTTATTACATTTCTTTATTATTTTATTTAAGTTAGCTATCCTATTAATAGATATTTCCTTTATTAAACCATATACGGGAACAAGTGGCAGCTGATTCAGTGCGGCACTCTTTCCCAGTGCTCACCATCAGATGACATATTAAACATATGCCTTTGAACATATACCTCTAGATGTTGATGTCTAGATTGGACCCTAGACCCCGCTACTGTACTCAAATCCAAGAACCCCCAAGATTGATGACTAATATAAAAAAAACTGACTCAGGAAAAAGAAAGCTTCTGAATGCGATCATTCTCTATATCTTACCTTAAGTAGCCGAGTTATGGTCGGACTAACTGAAGGAGAGTAACAGACAAATGATACTACGATCAGCATACCGCACTGGCGAGGCTATCACCATCGACTGCGTGAGACTTTTAGAGCCAAATGTTATTAAAATCAATGGAACTTAGGGGAATATTTAAGATCCGGGAGGCAGCGTAGATTGCAAACGGGTCAAATCTTTGCTGGCACTGAGCAAGAGGGAACTTACATTAGCAGGTGAACTGACGAGGCCTAACTAAACAATTAATTAAATAGAACGAACTGTTCGTCAAAGTACAATTGTGATAAGCAGTACAAAAAGCCTACATCGACCGCTCGGTAGTCTAAACGGAAAGAAACTGAACACTCAAGAAATATGTAATGTTAATTTCAGTGACAGGAAATAAGAAAAGAACCTCTGATCCAGTAAAAACGCCGATGAAAGGCCAGCGTAATAAAAGATGCAAGGGAGCTCGCTGAATAAGTACAATGGCAAAAAAGCGAGACCTGGAGGGTTGTTAGACTCTCATTGAGGAAAGTGAAACGCCAACTTGACGTAATACAAAAGCTGGGCGACAGTTCCTTAGAGAAGAGTTTTTGGTGAACTTTCAAATTTTTCTTTTATTACTTTATTTTATTTTACTTTAAATTACTTCATTTTATTTTATTTTATATTTGTTTCTAATTTTATTACATTTATTTGCCTCATTTTATTTTATTTTTATTTTAATATAATAAAATTAAATTTAGTTTCATTTTTATTATATTTCTATTTATTATTTTTAATAAATTTTAGTATATTTTATTTCAAATTTTTAATTAATTTAGTTTAATTAGTTTAACTTAATTGAATTGAATTGAATTTTATTTAATTTTTAATTTAATTTTATTTTATTGATTAATGTGTAAAATTTCATATACGATAAAACTTCGTTTCGAATGATTAATAAAAATTATTAGTAATCCCAACTACTCATAATATAGGCAAATCGTCTTTGTCTGTGTATTTAATTGATATTTGCATATGTAAGTATGTATAGAACTTGTCCTAATGTCTTTTCATAGCTTTGCTTATAAATATTTTAATTTACATATACCGTAATATATACATATAAGCAGACGTGAATAATTTTAATATTTTGCTAAGACGAAGTGGGCTTTTGTTGGATATAAACTTAGTTTCACCCTCTCAATTCGCTGTCGAACCGAAATTCCTCCCTCACAAGCGAAATCCATAAGATTATTCGTCTAACTTGAGAATTCGAAAGGAAGAGTTGTTTAAAATAATTTATGAAAGTTGAATTTAAGTACGCTCAATTAAACAAATTCGTTGGAATTTCGCAATATGTATATATATAAATATTGATATGTATCTAGATAAATGAGAACTTAATTAGGATGACCGACATAGTACTCAAAATATGTCATATTTAATTTGCAAGCTTTGCAGTCTTTTTTTTTCGTTCAGAGAAGGTGTATATATATGTACCGTATATGGATACAAATGTACATATGAAGAGGTTGAACGAAGAGATTTATCTAATTAGTTAAAAAAGTGTACTTTGTCTTTTTCTATATTTCTTTAATAATTTTATGAAAATATTTAATCTTTTATAAATAAATGTTTATGTATATAAAAGCTCAAATTGAGAATCTGAGTTGCTTTAACTTTCATTGTTTAGAAAATACTTCAGATGCTGCGTTATGAATATTTTCTAAAAGTCAGGGATATGCAAAGCTTATCGATATAAACATACATACATGTGCCCGACTTCAAAATAATATGGAAAATATTGAAATTCGAATATAGATCTTTTGGAAAAAATGCATAATAAACAAAAATGCCTTGAATAAGTATATAAATAAACAAAAAAACTTTAAGTGGAAGATTTAATTAACAAATTCGAATAGAAGAACTTTAAGTGGAAGGCAAATAGAAATCAATGCACACAAAATGAATGTAACTTCGTTCTCCAAGATGTAGACACTACAAATGTTTGTATGTATGGTAACTATATTTAATTCAATAAATTATTTCATTTCGTATTTAATTTTTAAATTGTTTTTTTTTTTAATGTATTATTATTTCATTTCGTTACATTTTCGCCTAATCTATTTTATTTTTTTACTTTATGATATTTGAATTTATTTAAATTTTTTATTTTTTTTTTATTTTTTATTTTATGTTATATGAAGTTATTAAATTTTATAAAATTTTTTGTAACTTAAATATATTTTTTGAATAAAATTTAATTTAATTCAATTTTATTTAATAATGAATTTTTTTATTATTTAATATTTTTTAATTTTATTTTCTAATATGTAATTTTTTTCTGTTATTCAATTTCTTTTATATTTATTTCTTAAATATAATTTATGTATATTTTAGTTTGTTTGTATTTATTTTATTTTAATTTCTTTCATAATTTTATTTTATTTTCGTTTCATTTTATTGTGTTTTATTTTATTTGTATATTAATTCCTAATTTCGTTTTATACAAATTTAATTTTTTTGAATTATTTTTGTTTTTATCTTATATTATTTTGTTTGTTCTATATTTATAATTTCATTTTAATTTAATTTAACTTTATTTAATTTAATTTAACTTTATTTAATTTAATTTAATTTTGTTTTATTTTATTAAACTTAATTTTGTTTAAATTTATTTTATTTCGTTTTTTTATTTTATTTTACTTCATTTTATTTATTTTAAATTTATTTTATTTTATTTTTTCCTTAACTTTTTATTGCTTTACTTAATTTATGTATTATTTCTGAATATATTATTTGTTTTATTTTATTTTAATTCGTTTAATTTAATTTTATTTCACTTTACTTCACTTATTTTTTTTTTAAATTTTCACATTTTACTTTGAGGTTTTTTTTTATACATATATCTAGATATCTATATGTACGTTTAATGCTGTATCTCCCACATTTAAAACACCCACTAATCAACAGGCAATTGAAACGAAACAAATACAAAAACACACACATACACGTACACCAACAACTTTCATTGCAGTGTGAAGTGGTCGAGTAAATAAATGATGCCAGCATTTCAAATGAATGAACACTAGTGATGATCGGATAAGCTATGAAAAAAATATTTATGTAGACATTTCTAGGTATATATGTATGCATACATTCGAGTATGAAATAAGGAAAACAGTAACTAAGTGTATAAGGCACTTCTGCATTCGAAATTCGTTGAATTTTGGAACATTTTGTTTTAATTTTTTCTTCTTCTTTTTCTGAAAGAGAAAATTTAATTGCCAACTGACGTTTTGTATATACAGATATACACTATGACGGACAGAACGAGTGGCTGGCTGCTGTACTCAGTGTTTATGTGTATTGTATACATTTGTATGTAGAAGACAGAATGTGTGCGACTGCCTGTTACACATAACAAATTATTGTTATGCACAGTGGAATCGCGACTCGGGTCAAGCAGTACAAAAAAAGAAAAAAAAAAAAAATAAAAAAAAAATGCGTAAATCAAAATGAAAAACTATTTGACGGACAATAAGTGAGAAAATAAAGTGATACTGGAAAATAAACTGAAAGCTCATGGAGATATCTTTAGTATGTACATATGTGCGTATGTGAGTGCGTAAATAATGAATTTTTTGGTTGCTATTTTGACCCCATGTCAAACGCGTCTTTTGTCGAAGACATTATTCATTCGCGTATATATGTATATACATTTAGCAGTATGTATGTTTTACGATGGA